ACCGAATGAACACACGAGTATTTTCACGTTCGTTTGTTTAATTTTAACTGAACGAATACGAACAACTAGACGAACGGATTTTTTTGTTCATGTTCGTTCGTTTAAATGATAAACAAACGTAAATGAAGAACGTAAACGAACATAAAATTATTTGGATTTATATTTGAGAAGAGTTTTTTTCTTTTCAAATAATTTTAGGATTTATATATTTTTTAATTGATTTGTGTTTTTTTTATTTGAGTTTAAAATTAATTGAGTTTAAAAATATTAATACATTTAAGGTTAAGATTGATTAAGTCTTAATATTTCAAACGGTCTAGAGAAAATAAACAAACAAAAACAAATGAACATAAACAAACATATTATCGAATGTTCACGAACGTAAATGAATAAACGAGCCTTTTGTTGGTGTTTGTTCATTTGATTAAACGAACATAAAATCTTGTCCATATTCATTCATTTAATAAATAAACAAACTTCTCATCAAACGGTTCCTTCAAATTTCGTTTACAAGCGGATGCATGGTATTAGGCATTAGAAATGAAAATAATAGCATGACTTTGAAGAGGGTTTCAGTGTGCGTGTGTTTTCCTGAAGAGTAATAAATATGTTCACCTAATTCGGCGTAAAACTATGGTTTCAATGTTTTATACGCCGATTTAACCGTAAAACTATGGTTTTGCTCCCACCTCCCACCTGGTAAATCCTCGTCAAACGCAGAATTAGGAGGACTAATAGCTGCAATTTTAGACCAAATCTGTTCCGGAACAAGCTAAAAAATGGGATTATCGCTGGTCGAGGCAGTTAGGATGTGCACCTTAGATTGCAACGGCAACAAACCAGCTGGCAGAGACCTTCTATCGGATGGGTTAAAGGTAGCTCTGATGGACCGATGGATTGCTTAACTAGAATAGCTTCTGCAGTTGGGGTTTTATGAGGTTCGAACGGTGGTTGGATTGCCGGATTTGCCCGAAGCATTGGTATGTGTTCCGTCCTAAATGCAGAGCTATGGGCTATACATAATACAGGATACGTTGGAATTAGCTTGGAAGTTTGGAGTGCATAAGATAGAAATGGAGTCCGACAGCATAGCGGCGATTGAAGCGACCAAAGGCAATACCCAAGATGTAGCCGATAATCTTGTTAGATTGGCGAAGAGGAGTCCGATTGGTGTGAAAATATTCAACGAACCTCCAATGGAGGTGGCTGATCTGTTGGATCTAACTTAAGTCTTCTTTCTGTTATGCTAGTTCAGTATTATCAAAAATATATATATGTTCACCAATCCCTTGCGCATGATATGTCATGGCAATATGGCATGCCCTCGGATGAAAAAACATTGCTTTCAACGAATCACATAATTATTATTTAAGCCAAGGTAAGGTAGCATACGTTCGCCGTCCATGACCATCCATATATCCATTCATCCCCACATATGCTTCATTCTCTTTCTCAGCTGCATACTTTTGGATTCCGTTCACACCACCCCTGGAGATTTTACTTTACCTTTTGCAAAATTACTATCCTCACCTATACCATCCGTCCATTTTATTTAGGCATCAAAACAAGGCTTCTGTAACCAGCAATCGTAAGCTGTCACCTGATAAAGCGATACCACGTGTTCATACCCGTGTGGCTCCAATCAGAGGCAGTTTGCCACGTGGGATTGCACGGAAAGGGACAACTTCTTGGCTGGCACTTCCCACCGCCGATAAAGCCTGCGCCTTTGCCCTTCATTTCCCTGTTCTCACTTTCATGCTTACGTTATTGTAACCTCAATAACTTTATCTTGACAAATCCACGTAAATGAACAAACGGTACGAGTGTTTATCCAAATCAAAAGAACAAAATGTTGATAAAAAACCAAAAAAGAAAGAGAAAATTCATATCCAAATTCAAGCAACTTGACCCACTATGATTCTCAAACCGTTTTGTTTGAAAAAAACGATCATTTTGTTTTATATTCACGCTTTTATCTCTTACTCTTAATTACTTGCTGTTCAAGTTATTTAGGCAAGTTGAATTCTCTCATCTGACCAAACAGGATCCTGGCCGTAAAAACTAAAACAGTGGGTCATTGCCATCAAGAATGGCTTAAATACAAGTCCAATTTGAATTTGTCTTCATATCCTGCCCCATCTCTGCCACAGCACATTGCTGATGTTTCAGCCTTCGTATTTAATAACTGCAGCTGTTATGTTTTCCACTTAAGTTCGTGTGGTGAATTATTGAATTGAAACTAGAGGAGATGAAGGTGTGCTTCGAGTTATACCGTAATCGATCACGATATCATTTGTTATTTTCACGATCGTAATAAATATGAGAGTATCAAAAAATTTAAAACTCAGTTGTTTTTTTCATGGGATGATGCAGCCCCTCATACTGTGTTTTGCTCTCCATTTACCCTCCAAACTGAATGGTCACTTTCCGCCATAAGTGGGAGGGCATGGGGGTGGCGGTGGCGGTGGGACCATTTTCCATATTTCAATCTGCTACCAACAGCATACTGCTACTGCAAACACAGCTCTCTCTCTCTCTCTCTCTCTAGAACACAAAGATGAGAGAGATAATTAGTAGGCATCAAATGTTTGGAGTTTGGACCCTTGGTTTTTTTCTTTCTTTTTGTCTATTATTACTGCTTTGGTTATGGTTTTTTTTAATGGCAAGTTGCAGCCAATAAAAACCCAGCATTTCCAATCCAATTCTATGCCAGACCACTTTCTTTTCTCTGAAATATAAAGTGCAAGGGGATGACCACAAAGAGAGAACTGCAGTGCAGCAGTCCCTGATATCTTTCAATCTTATCACAATTTTATTTGAGGTGTAATATTGGAAAAGAAATGTAAATTTTATCCCACTTTAATGCAGGAACATGATAGGAGCTGATGGTGAGAGGTGACATGCATGCAGGAGGAAGAAAATATCAGACTCATCAGCCGCATGCATGCATTCAAATTAAGAAGCAATGGGCTATCCATAAGATAATAAAATGCTTCTGCATGCAGCCAGCGTCTTACTGTGGAATTTTCTCAAATCAATTGCTAAGCAAAGATCAATTGATTTGAGAAAGTGAGTAATGAAACCAAGTTTGCTGATGTGGGTGCTGATTCACTTTACATGGTGCATTTCCTCAAGACAATATATACATTTGTTTTTATTACGACTCCTTTTTTCAGTTTGTTGCATCATCTTGTGCATATCCTAGTTCTTTTCCTGTATAAAAAGATGACTTTTCGAGCGTAACCCAATCCATTCATGCACTCTTACATGATGACATTCAAGACATTTAATTCGAACCAAATTCTAAACAAGTGATCTCTTTTTATCCCATTTTGCGACTTTTGTAAGTGAAGAAAAAGAAGAAGGGAGAAGGGTTAGAAAGATTATTCTCAAAACTACTCTCCATGAGATTAAAAACTTTGTATGAATCATCGTAGAAGTAGCAGATGAAACTTTTAATTTTACCAAATAATATGTCGTTATATTTATGTGATCTCGTTTAATAAGTTTAGAGTCAGCAAACAATTTCTTTTTTCATGCAGAATGGGTCAATAATACGAACAAGATTGATAATATCTAAATTAATCAGATCACTTGAAATCCGTTGAACATCATCAACTCTATCAAATTCTACTTCAACCCGTTCAAAATGCTAGTTGTAGGCCGCTAATAACTACCCATAGTTCAACCTTGTCTGGTCAGAACTTATCGGGTTCGGGTCTCATACCCTTCTAACTCAATAGCGCTTGAGGCTTTGACTAAGCTGTCCAATCTTCGGCTTGCCTGTACGAGCCGTCCCAATCCCAGCAGCTAGGCCCACGTTATTAAACATTGAAGCCAATGGCCCATTCCATTAAATGCAAAATGAAAATGGTAATATTTCATATTTTTTTCAAGAATCATTTTTCATCAATAAGAGATCATTGTGCAAGAAGTCTCCGTATTATGACTCACATTTAAAATTAGTTCTTAAAATTCAAAATATTTTTATTTAATTCTTAAACAATGGATCCCATTCTAGATTGATCCCTAAATTTTAAAATATTTTATATTGATACAGTAGACGCTGCATCCTGCAGCCATGTTTGAGTTAAACCAAAAACTACCAAATCGTGGAACCATTCTACAATAAGCATTGCCTGTATAGGCATCGGAAAACGAAGCCGAGTTATGACTTTTATGTTGAACTAAACGGAGTTGAAATGATGGGTTATGGTCACTGTGGCGCTGTTTTAGCTTTTTGTCGCCAATCTTCAACGCAATCCACTGCAATGGTATTACTTAAATGTGCAATCATATAGTTTAGATCTTTATTCAGTCTACCATAACATGCAAGAAAGTAGGCTTACACTAGGGATTAGAGAAGGAGAGAGAGAGGGTGGTAATCATGCAGAAATGTGAAGGGATGGTGCATGTAGTAATCATGATTCCAAGTCTTTGCAATGAAACGGCCATGCTTTTTAGCATGCTTCCTGGTCCACTCCCATATGAAGAGTACAGCAAAAAGAAGAACACCGATAGTTTTCTCTTGCTCTCGATGTGGCACGATTTACATGTTTATACCCCTGCTAAAGTGAAAGAAGAACATCAAGCATTGAGACAACTTCCTCGGATGCATGTCCTTGCAGCGAAGGAAACTTGATCTGAACTTTGGGCTTTTATGGAACAGAGTTGGCTGAATGTTTGGAGAAACATACTCATGGGATGTGACAATGCAGCACAAACTGGTCACTTTTTCGTGTCATCGGTCATGCAAACACGCAAGTTAGGTCGTTATTCGGCACGATTCGTTGAATCGTTGACTACTATTTTCAGATGATCAAGTGTAAAAACCAGTGACCATCTTTCTGGTATAAGGTGCAACTGCATCAAGAAACCAATAAAATTTGATGGAAGACACATTAGCATTCAAAGTAAAAAAGAGAATTTTGTATATGAAAATCAATAGTCTCATTAATTAATACATTCAGCAAAGGAACTGATTTGCTTAAACAAATCAAGTGAAGAAAATCAATGCTCTACAAGAATACAAGAAAGTACAAAATAAATTAAGCAAAGGGTAAAAAAAAGGAAAAGAGAATCACAGAGATCATTATCAAATCCTTCAAAACATAGCAGAGTCCACAATGTGTTCATACACAAGCTTCAATCCTCGGCTCAAAAGAGAAAGCAGACATGAAGTTCATGGCTTCACCATTCATACAACACTTGGGAAGTTCGATCCATTCGTTAGCCACGATATCACAGAGAACATAACTGCAAAGCTCAACAGAGCTTAAGCAGATAAATATCTGGTCGCCTGCCCCAACACAATTTACGTCAACTTTCTTGCCATAATACACGTGTGACATTGCAGGAGGCATGCTTGCAACCTGAAGCCAAGTCTTTGTTTTCTCACCAAATCTCCACACCCTAAGGCTTGCACTTTCAAAGAATTCCGATAACATAACTACCAACATCTCTCCTTTACACTCCACCACATCGATGGAGTACTCGAAAAAGACAGGCAACAGTCTGGGATATTCAGAGAGGTGCTTCTGGGTCAGATTGCAAGCCACGACTGTCCCGGAGGAGCTGAGAAAATAAACAATCTCATCACCGTCTTTAAGAGTAATAACCGATGAATATTGCTTGGATGGGCTTCTCTGCATGTTAGTTGCCACTACGTTTCCAGCTTTGCTAAGGAAATACATGGCATCATCATCGTTGTCATTTGAATCAAGTTCTGTACAATCATCATCGGTTTTTCTCCTTAAAATAATCTTCTCTTCCCAGCAGTCAGAACTAGAGTTATAAACTTTGAACGAAAGCTTCGAAAGATCACCAGAGACTAAGACTAGCTTGTAGGAGTAATTGGAATATGCATTCACTGCTATAGCCAGAAGTGGCGGATCAAGAGAGTCCGGATTCACTGGAGGTAGTTCACGGCATGATCCTGTCACCGGATTGCATACAAAGTAATCACCGGACATATTGCGGAAACACACAAGCCCACCAGCCGCTGCAACCGGGATGGAGTCACGGTTACAGTTACTCGAGAGGAGAGGCGGATGGTTGAGTTTTTTCCAGTTTCTCTCAGCAGAGTCAAAAACCACTGATTGATTAAGGCGGGGATCCACCATGAAAAACCAAGGTTCCCTTGAAGGAATCCTAAAGCATGCCAGCTTAAAACCTTCAGAAGCAGCAACTGATTTCCATCTCTTGCACACTGAAAGGAGGCGAAAGAACGTCGATGTTGATAACCACGAAAGAACCCTTTCAAGGAGGTCGTCAGTGAGCTCATCCAAGGATAAGTTCAACATAGCATTGCCTTCTTCAGGCAACTTTCTTTTCCTGGATGGCCTCGAAATGCAGCCGTTAGCCTTCTCCATTGGAAGATTACTTCAGAAAATAACCTGCAACGATAAAGAGAGGAAGACAACAGCACTATTAAGAAGATACCATTATCACTCATCACTTATACCATCATACAGATGAATCAAAACCTAAATTCCTTTTTTCAAATTAATCCACATCGTAGAGAATATATGAAACGAGGCAAATAAGGCTTGAATATCACATCAATTAAAGATTAGAGAAAAATTGACAACCTAACTAACATAAGCATTAAAGGCCCGCATGTGACTAGAAAGCGCTAAGAGGCTCTCTCTTTTTTTCTCACAAGGGGTCCAACAAGAACACAAATCAGCTCTACTCAATTTCACTTCAATGAATGCAGAGAGTAAATTCTTCAAGGAAAGTTGCTAAAAGAGCAACAATCACGGAAAGCCATATATTAAACAGGGACTCTTTTTTACAAAGGGGTCAATTTTGCTTAAAAGACAATCAATTTGCATTTAGCAAGGGGCACTTCTTTTTTTAAAAAAAAAAAATCTCTTTAGAAAAAACCCTTGAAGAGAAAGGTCTTTTTAAAGCTTGACAAAAACAAATCCTGAATGAGCTCGAAATGGAAGAAGAGGGCAGAAAGGTCAAAAAATAAACGAAAGACAAATGTACCTGATGATACGAAGCTGAAGGGGAGGCGTTGAGTGAAGCTTAGTGAGAGCTTTGGAGAATTAAGCAAAGGGACAAGGTTGAAAATTGAAGCAGCCCCAAAAACAATACAAAAAGAGAAAGCAACAGGGCAAAGAAAGGAAAGCAAATGAGCTTTAGATGAAGAAGGGAAGTAGTAGTAAACTTCCCAAGGTTCCTCTTTTCGTAAGCGTTGACAATAAAAGAGGGCATAAGAGTGAGAGAGCAAAATCAAAGATTTATACTCGTTCGAAAACAAAAGTGAAGGTGAAGCCTCGCACAGTCACAGACTCACATTACTCGCACACACGAACGGGAAGAGAGAAGAAGAAGAAAAAGAAAAAAGAAAAAAGAAAAAAGAAAAAAGCAAAACAAAACTATCTACTGAGTTGACTCTAAATCTACACTCTACAAGGATGAGTAGTCTACAAGACAGGGTCAGTATACGGTAATAGAGAGAGAAGTGTGCATTGGATTCTGGGTCGGGCCGACCCGTGAACTAAAACAAAAGTTCAAAGCTCAAGGATTTTGTTTGTTGTTTTTTGCACTTTAATCGTAAAAGAAAGCGAAGTCACACGTAGCCCTGGTTGAGTAAAAGAAAAGAACGGAATTCCTATGTCAATGGAGCGAGACTGTGAAGGGTTGAGGCATCTCTGAGGAGGCGACCTTTATAATGCATACTAATATTTTACACATAAAGCAAAAGCAACCGAAATAAAGAGAAACAGAGTTTCTTCTGGTTGGGTATAATTTGCTTTGCCTTCCTCGTTGAGGAATCTCTTCACCTCTTTTTCTTTCATTTTTCCCCTTTTGGTTTTGGTCTCAATCAGATTAATATATGTTGAAGTCAAAATGCCCGAGAACCAAGAGCCGATCCCTATAAAGTATAAACCCCAAGAAACCAGTAATCTAAACTGGAAGGACAAAAAAGCCGTTAATTACGTCCTTCTTTCATGCAGTGATTTCAAACAGAGAGACCCGCATCTCGATGCCACCTTACATGGGCGGACCCGCAGTTCTCAGCCCTTACCAAATTTTATCAATTTAGCCCATCTCTTGGACTATCAATGAAAGGGATCAGGTTTGGATGTTATGATGTTAACTCATTTCTTTCCAAAAAAAAAACATAATGCAAACTCAAAATTTATAACAAAAGAGGCTGCATAATTTGATTTGCTGGTATTAGTAAGTACCATATTTCGAAGAAATAAAATACATTAAAATTTTAGTTTTAAAGCTTATAAAAATAACGTTATACATGCCATCAGGTTTAACTTTTTCTTAAAAAAATCGTCATTATAAATATATCATACAACCGTTTAATTGTCCGATTTTACCTTGAACACTCTAATAGATAAAATAAATGTTATACACAATTATATTATGATCTATGACAAGAATTTCACGAGATACGTAAAAAATAAAGTCATAACCTGAAGAAATGGTACATTAATCCATACCGATATTAAGTGGGAAATAATGTCACAATATTACGCTTATTGAGTTTCCCAGGAAAAACCGTTTTTGGCTCGTCCCTTGGGTAAATTACTCCATTGATGCACCTCGGCGTTGTCCATTTATGTTGCAAACGATGATTAATTTACATCTTCCGTGATGGCGTTAACAGAGATAAAACCTGTTAATTAGTGCTCAAGTAGTAGCTGTAAATCCATTATCCTTTTTCCTTTTTCAATTAATTGTAGTGTATGATGCGTATAAACGCCGGTCCAGTTTAAATGTTTCTATGATATAAAGCTCTGTAGATGCTAATCGGAAAACAATGCAACGTCAAAAGTTCCATAATATCACACCAATGACAAGTCTTAGTATATGTAAACAACACAGAAAAACAACCAAGTCAACGTTACATACACATCAATGCCTAGATAGCTTAGTTCTTCAATCGTCAGACATATTAGAGACAGGGTAACCGGGTTTAAAAGACATTACAACTGCCCCTAGATGCAACAGGAAAACAGGAGAATTTCATCCTACATCAGACGGTACTCTCATGGCTGATAGCAAGATCTACCATGAGAACTATCTTAAGTTGTACACTTGTAATCCACATCAATTCCAAACACTGATCAAAGTCATTATCCTAGTGCAGTTTGCATTTCACAATAGCTTTTCTTTTTTATCAAATATATGTAAGGATTCATATATGCTTAGCTTAGGCAGCGGGGGCCGGAGCTTTTGGCTGGAATTCTTCTTCAGGAACAGGTGATTTACCGAAGCAACCCGATTCTGGGGAAGATGCAGCACTGAGGTTAGCTTTGGTGTCATCAAATGATTTTGGTGTTGATGGATTAGGATATGGGTTCCTGTTCACCAGCCTGCAAAAAAAAAAGCATATGGAAACAGTGACCACCTCGACTATATTCCCCAATCCCCAAGCTTGGCACAAATGCTGGATAGTTAAATGTTATCCACTTTGAGAACAGTTGATAGTTTTTATCCAAAGTAAATCACAAAAAAAGGTAACGGTCATGCAACGTCATTTTACAGCATATATGAAGAGAAAAATCATTAATGCTTAGGATTATATATCTAAATAAGAAAGTGGTAGTTCGGTATGGAAGGGGTACCTGTCACGCCGCTTCTCAAAAAACCGCTGAAGGGAGTGTCTCCTTGCAATTGGTAATTCTGATCCAATAGATATTTACAAAAAGCATCAAGCTATATTAGTTAGCATGCACTGAATCGATTAATCATAGAATATTCACATTTCTAATTCATCCATCTTCCAGATAAGTTAGTTAAGAGTTACCACCTTGCAGTTTGCAAAAGGAGGGCCTGTTAACGGGATACACTTGTGCCTGTGGTGAAGCCAAAGCAGTTGCAGTTGCAGTACTTTGAAGCGAAGAAGACCTCTTAAGAGCAGGTGGAGTGCTGGCACAATCAGTTACAACATTCTTCATGTCAACAGAGTTAGCAGCAGCGGCTGCAGCAGATGCAGCAATAAGCATAATCTCCCGCACCTGATGGACATGAACCAATAGTCAATTTTGGTATAAGACCACCCCTTCTGCTTAAGTTAGTAACACCTTCATAAAAAAGACCAACCTTTTCTGCCGGAATTGCATCAAACACACAAATACAACCATTATAGAAAATGGTGAGTTGGGAAGGAGAAGGGCTTGGAGTATTTAGTCCAGATGCCGGCATTGCTACGGAACTTGTTCACCATAACAAAAAGAAAGAAAAGTTCAGATAACATCATAGAAGCTTGTAATGGGAACACAATATGCTGTGAAAATTAATAAATTTATCGCTATAAATATTTGTAGAATAAATGAAGAAGTAAGCATCTTCATGTGCTCTGGGAAAAAAAAGCATACATCAAAGAAAAACATAACGAGAACCAAAAGTTCTGGAAAAAAAAAATTCAACAAAATCCTAACACAACCTTAAAAACTAATATCCAAAGCTCGGTGTAGCCATACGGCCCATACCCATTCCATTTTTTTAATAAATAACTAATTTCAGAATAAAAGAAGACGGCAACTTACAAGCGCTAAAATTTTAACCGATACTTTTTTTTTCTTCTTGAAGGTAATTATAATCAACACAGCTCAAATAATTATTATCATAATGAAGCATTAGAATGAACAATCAGACTAGAAACCAAAAAAATATGGAAAGAGTTCACACATGGTTCACATATGACAGGCTCAACCATGGATTTCAAAGTGGACCACAACCTTATCATTAAACCAACGCCATACATGCTTGACCGGGACTTGTTAAATTACATTTTTAAGGATGACTACACTATCAAATCAAAGGAAGCGTGGGCTGCCTTCCGACCCCATCACAATAAAAACAGCTAGTACTACTACTATATTCTCAAAAATAGCAAAGCACGGGTCACCTTCCAACCATTTAATATCTCAATAAAAACTAACAGTACTACTACTACTACGTTCCATTTACAGTACCGTTAAAATAGCCCAGCAGGAAAAGGATAGATCATAGTCGAATAATTATACTCAACAAATGAGATTAGTTATGGTAATTAATTAAGCATTATTTTTCACGTAATTAAGTTAACCAACACAGAGCAAATCCTTTCCATTTCCGAAACCAAAATTCAACAATAATTGAAAAGAAGTCAAATAATATCATTACCCGAAAGATTTCTCTTCGTTTCCGTGGAAAGAAAATAAAAAACCCTTACCAGTTTTGGAACTTGGAAAGAAAATCAGGGGCTTCAACGGACCCCAGATTCCCGACAAAATCGCCATTACTTTGTTTAACGACGACGTTTGGCTTAATTTCCTCGTACGAACCAGCTTCCCCTTCCGTGAAAACCTAATTTTGCCTTTTCTTTTGATCTTTCCCTTCGTTACTAGATTTTGAACTGCTCCGCTGTGGACAGACCAAAATGTGATTAAAAACTGAGAGAGGAAAAAAAAAAAGCAATATTAATGAAAATGAAAGTGAACCGATCTAAGGGCGGTGGTTGGGGTTCTTTGTTTGTGATCACACGTGTCTGCTATACAAGAAACCAGGCTGTTGATGAGATGATATTTAAATGTTTAATTGCGTGGTTTTCAAAGGCGGATTTGGGACCATTCCACGAGGTGCAAAAGCGACATAGCAAATTGTAGATTTGTAGTACATAATTTAAGTCCAGTTCACGTTTTTTTTTCACTTCAATTAAAAATGGATATTTATTTTTGCTTCTCAAAGGGGTAACTCCACAATAAACCATCCAGCTATAAAAATTATTATTTTTGATCACTCAAATCTAAAAACTTATAAAGTTACCACTAAAAATGCATTCTGTTTTAATTTTGACCACGCAATTATAGCTTTAACATGCCTCACCACTTAATTGGCTCGATAATTAGATGAAAATCAAATATTAGTGTTAGACTTAGGATTATAATTTAGATCTGCCTGGAAAAGCTTTTTATGTCAAACCATTACATACACTAGTGTTTGACAATATTTATGTTAACTTTGACATTTTATATGTGATATGACATACGAATTTTTTATAATTAGATATTTAATTTTAAAATTTATATGTAATACGACATAAAAATTTTAATGGTTTGATGATATATTTATTTTTTATCGTAATTCGTATCGACATAAATTGTAAGTTCAAATACATATATCTAAGAGTGAGTTTATATTCATTTTGGATCTATAATGATACTAATTTTACGAATTTATAAAAAGTAATCAAATATCTATAAATATTTAAAATTTAAATTTAAATTGTCATCCCTACACCTAGACCATAAATGGCCAAATTATATACAATAATTAAACTCAAAAAACTAAATACAATATTTTTTTTTTGTAAATCTATCCAAATTTAAAATGATTTCAAAAATAATTTAAAAGTTCATATAAACAAAG